TGTATGTTCTTGATATCGTAGTACAGACTGTGTGTGAAGATAGTAGAGTGAACAACATCTAACATCACCTCGCCTGTCAATCATCTTACTTGATGACCCAGATGACGTTCATTTTTGTCCATGTATCCTATTGTTTTTATATTGCATTGAGACTACATGTAACTTAAGTGTAACTTTTGTTTTGCTTTTAGCTTCCTCCTGAGATATGTTCCCTGCTTCCTGGATCAAACCAGGTAATGTACATGTATGATTAAATGATGATGATCATTGATGGTGATGATGATGATCATTGATGGTGATAATGATGATAATGGATGATAATGATACAAATATGATAATGTAGTTAATAATAATGAAGGATGATGATTTATGATAAAGTGATGATGACAGTGATGATGTTAATCAAGTTGGATAATGAAGATGATAATTGATGGTGAAGAAGGTTGAGGATGTGGTGGTGGTAAAGATACTCAAAGATGATGATGATGATATGTTTTACCTTTGCCAGATGTTCAAGACAGATGTTTTTCGCTTCCATGTTTCATCACCTATTGTCCCTCCGGAAGTCATGGAATATGACATGTCTACTGGTACAATGGTACGTTTTACCTTCAATACTTAGTGATCCCTAAGGGACCAGTAGGCACATGGACCTCCAGGAAGAGGAATTAATATGAAAAGGGACCCTCATCAGGGGGAAAACAGTAGGGAGGGTTCCCAAAGAAGATTGAACAGCCACGATGAGGGACCATCATTAAGAGGGAAACCTCTTCAAAGGAAACAACGATGCTAGGCATCCCCCAAAAAGGGACCATCATGAAGAGCGACCCCCATCAAAGGGAACACCATTTGGAGGGATCCCAAAGAAAAGGGAACCAGAAAAGGAACCACCATGAAAAGGGACCACCCCAAAGAGGAACCGTCATAAAGAGGGACCACCATGAAAAGGGACCAACCAGAAAAGGGACCACTATGGGGAAGGGCCCTCATAAGGAGGGACTCTCATGGGAAGAAATTCCCATTAAGAGGTACTCTCAGCAAGTGTTACCAAAAGGGTTGAATCACTGGAGGTAACAGCCATTAATAAATAAACCTATCACGTTCCCAATTTTATATACAGAAAGAACTTCACCCTGTTTTGTCACGTAAACCGAAATACTCAAGTTCTGAATATCACTGCATGAGGACAGAAGTACCCAGCAAGGCAAGTGATAACATGCACTTGTAGTAGACTATGGCTATGATATAACACACATTTTGATTGGCTGCCTAATGGATTGAGCGCTTGCGCAGAAGTGCATGAAAAACTATATGATGTTAAAAGTGCGTGCAGTGATTAGCTGCTTCCATGTGGGTTGGGCATGTGCGCAGAAGGTGATTGGTCTATGCTGATGTGAAAAAACATGAGATTCTTACTTTCATAACAACACGCGCTCATATTGGCTGGATACCTTGGTTGGCCCTCAATCACTGACAACCACTAACTATCCCTTGATTTATCTTGACTTGACAGGATGGTACAATGGTTCCAATCACCCTCTTCCACCACAGGAACGTCAAGAAGAATGGAAAGAACCCGATGTTGCTCTGTGTTTACGGTAAACAACAATTCCCATTTGCCTAATAGTTTGAGTTAGAGCACTTTCCATTATCCATTCTACTACCCAGAACAGCCTCAATCATGGCACAGTTTCTTGTGTTTTGGCTTGCTTCCATCAAATATTCGCTACAGTACGAATTGACCGATCCCGGCTATGCTCAAGTGTCCATCCAAACAATGGGTAGTTTTCCCAGTAGAATACAGAATGTCTGACCAACAAACTGGAATTCATAAGATTGTTTCGTTGTTATGGATGTTTTTCTTCACGTACCTTAAAAATGCATTTATCCTAAGACAGAAGTTTACAATTATAAGCGATCGGAGTCTGTTCCATGCTGTTTATCAAAAACACATTTTAGCTTGTCCGACTTAGCATCGGTAACTAGGGAGGCAAAACAATGAATGCGGGATTGGGGTATTGTTACTGAGTTTACAGATGAATGGCACATGACAAAACATTATGTCTAGGCTACCGTTTCCATGGCGCAGTGTTTTCGCTATTTTGTTGATTCTGACCAACCCACAAAGGTGCGTATACCACAACATATGGAATCATTCTGCTGATAAATGTCTATTGTGTTTTTTTCTAGGTGCCTATGGAGTGAATGTCGACATGAGTTTTAACCTTGAGCGCTTGTGTCTCCTGTCTAGGGGATGGGTGTTGGCTTTCTGTCACGTCAGGTAACTTGCTGGGTGTCAATCACTTATAAAAATCAAGTCTTTGAATCTCATTATCTGCTCCACATGGTGGCCAAACACTGACCACCATGTGCTGTCAGCCAGAAAGAATTCTATTGAGAATTTGTGATTTAGCTGATGAACATCCTGCTTGATACTGGAAATGACATCAAGGGAAGCACCTAGTATGGGAATTACAATCCTGTTCATGCTCTCTCTATTGGGTAGTTATCGCATTCATTTTCCTAGTTATCCTACTATCTTATGTATATGCATGTACCTTATAGCTATTACCCGATTAAGTTGTTAAAATTTAAAAAAATCAGTAGTTGTTTCTTGAGCATGCCTTTCTGTGACTCTGATTGGTTGGTTTTGTACGGAAGCCATTTTTGAGTAACGGTACTCCATTTTTCTCAGTTTTATTTCTGTTCTAATTCTGGTGTTAGGGGAGGAGGAGAGGTTGGTCGGGAGTGGTATCACCAAGGCAGACTACATAACAAACACAAGAGTTTTGAGGTAAACTAAACAAGGAAACAGGAAACAAGGTCTTATGTTGTGGGCAGTCGTAAAGGAAATAGGAAATGATTAGAAGAGAACTAGCAAGAAGGATGAAAAGACCAACAAGAACAGTCACTTGCTTTTGTGCAAGTCTTTGCCTCCCGATTGCATCAGTTGGTTGGGCACCAGTGGGGAGTCTAGGGTCAAGTCTCCTTGGCCAATGGCTGTGGCTCAGATCATCATGGTCACCATTATTATTGACATCATCATTATCATCATCGTCATTCTCATTGTCTTCTCATCGACATCATCATCATCATCATCACTATCATCATCGACATCTTCATATTCATCATCATCACTATATCATCATCGACATCGTCATCATCATCATCATCAATATCATCATCAACATCATCATTATCATCATCACTATATCATCATTGTCATTATCATCGCCTTCATCATTGTCATTATCATCATTGTAGTCATCATCGTCTTCATCATCATTATCGTCATCATTACCATCATTCCTCCAACTCGAAGGACTAACTTAATGGAAAAATTTAAACTGCTAAATTTCTTTTAGGATTTCGAGGCTTGCACTGAACATTTACAAGGAATGGGATATTCCAGTCCCTCACTGACAGCAGCAACAGGGACAAGTGCTGGTGGCCTGGTAGTGGGTGCTGTGTGTAATAGATCACCTCACCTATACAAGGCTGTGATACTGAGGGTAGGTCTGATTTCTACTTTCATTCAGTCTCTCACTATTATTGGGACTATGAAACATCTTGGACTGTTGTTGTTGTTGTTGTTATGCTACGGTTTTGTTGGGTTTATTTGTTTGTTGGTCAATTGTTTGTCCGTCATTTCATTTGCTCTTCTTCAACCCTTTTCCTTCATTCTTTCTTTCTTTCGTTCCTTCCTTCCATCCATTTGTTGGTCCACCCTCCCACCCTCCCATCCATCCATCAATTTATTTGTTCCTTCATTCATTTGTTCTCTTTTTCATACAAGGTCCCATTTCTTGACGTTCTTTCATCAATGCTGGATTCGTCGCTACCTCTGACGTCTCAAGAATACGACGAATGGGGAGACCCGAGGTAAAGACACTATAATATTTGAACTTTACCATCGTGTACATACTACTAATTTTTGAAATTTTTGAACTTAATATTTCTGTAGGAAAAGTGCAGAAGACTTTAATTACATCAAATCGTATTGTCCATACCATAATGTCACTAAAAGGGTGAGAAATTTAAGGTTGGAAGGTTTGATATTCTCATCCTTTGTCTACACTGTTTAACTGCACTTTGCTGTCATCTGCCCTGCTCTGATTTCCTCCAGAATGCTGTGCTGTGCTTTGCTATCCTGTACCAAATATTGCTCAGTTTTGCCATACCTGCCCTTCTTTACTATGATCAGCTGTTCTTTGCTATACTGGGACTTCTATTGCTGTGCTTTGCCATCCTCTCACATCCTTCTCAACTATGGTCTTCTGTGTTGTGCTATGCCTTGCAGTGCTGTGCCCCACTCCATCCCACCCCACCCCACCTACCCCATCCCACCCTACCCCACTTCCCCCCAGAATACTGTGCTATGCTGTACTCTGCTCCTTATCGTATTCAGATTATTTGTATTTATTTCCATTTGATATAAAATGTCCCAGAGCTATCCATCAATGCTGGTACGTGGTGCGATGCATGATGACCATGTTCCATACTGGGTACCCCTCAAATGGGTGGCAAAAATAAGAAATGAGGTACAGCATGTGGAAAGTAATCCTACAAACGACGATGACAAGGATGACAAGGATGACAAGGATGATAAGGATGAAAGCATTTCCTCAGCTCCTTTAGTTCTATGTTCCATTGATGATGAAGGCGGGCATTTTGGAAGCACTAGTTCTGAAACAGTCAAAGAGGTAACTTTTCGTTCTATCTTTTTGTAAGCTTTACTGCGGTTTTCGATATTCTTCGAACTCATACATTTCGACGGCTCATTGTGAATTGAGTTTATTACTGCTGCCAGTCAAGAACATAAAAGGTACCGACTGATCATTTTTGATTCACGGCAGCCAAAAAACAAAATCGAGCATGCAGCTTGTAACTATGGAGTTGGCAGAATACAGTTGTATTGAAATCAGCAGTAAGATTTGATAATCTATGATGCTCTTCTTATCACTTATCTCATCACTTTCCTTCCTTCTCTCTTGTCTTGTCTTGTCTATCCATTCTTCCACTTCACTTACCTCTTTTATCTAATGTCGTCTCTTCTGTTCTCCAGATGGCCAGGGAGTTCGCTTTTCTACACAAAGCACTTGGGCTTCCGTTAAAATAACACCTATGACGTCATCAATATCGAGATATCCAATATCCCCGATGACCACATCAAACATTATTCAAATCATGTTATATAATGCTATATTTTTATATATTATTAATGCACTCAAGGGGTCTCTAAAAGGGATTGGTGATAATACCATACCTCAGGAAACCCAGTTTTGCATTTTTGCGGTACACTTCTTGCTCATAGCACAGTGTAATAATGCTCAACCCAGAATAAAGCCTTTTTTTCACTTTCAAAAGTAATTTTCCCTCAATTCGCAGGAAGTGGGTTTTCAAACAAATCATTGCTATAGTTTTTCTCTTTTTATTTCTTTTTTCTTTTTTGCGAAGTAAATAGCAAGGCTTCACAATCTCATATTTTGGCTTTTTTTCTCCTTTTCATTGTTATT